AATACAAAAGAACACACAGACTCCGATCCTGTGTATGCGTATGTATTGTAAATTTTGCACAAGCAGCTACGATTGACGACTGAGTGCAGAATTTGTAATACATACGCATACACAGAATCGGAGTCAGTGTGTTCCTTTGTACGTTTACACGAGCTGTATTAAAACACCACTAGTAACAGAAATCGGTGAGTTTTTTAGTAGAGATTTTTTAATTGATATCAGAAATTTTGTGTTTCGTCACTCGTTCTTAACCTCTATAGAGGGTTTTTTATTTGTTTGCAATATTCCAATATTATTTTTATTTTATTTTATTAAAAATCATCCAATAAATAATAAAAAATATTATTTGGAATGAAATCTATCTGTAATAATATTTTTTTTCGCTAAAAATTTTAATTCAGTGTTTACATAGACGTTTTAAAATGCAAGAACATCAGAAGCCCTTATTGAATTTTTCACTATCTTGATAAAAAAAATAAAAGAAAGTGAGGAAAAAATCTCACAACAACAATTGAGTTCACACTATTCAATTTGTCTGATTTTTTTTATTGTTATTACACATTCGTTTTAATTTTCCAAAATTACTTAGCATATTGATTTTTTTTTGTAACTTCGTTTGAAATTTCATTACGGGGTAATTAGGGTCGGTACACCCTAGCCTAGCGCTATAAAAATGCTAATATGAAGATGGGAAAAAATGATTCAATTCGTTGAAAATTCAGCCAGCTGTTTTGTTAGGGAAACAGCCATAGGCGTTATTGGAGTAAAAAGTTTTGTTGTTAGAGTTGGTATCATGCACACCTCGTCCAATCAGAAAAAATATTTCATTCCGTTTTTTTCAATTCTGGAACGCAACTATTGTCTATTTGGCTGCTATATGGCAACCTTATATGAAACTTCCATGTGATAGCTAAAGTTTGCTGAAGTAATATAAATGCGATACTAACTCACGTTGAAAATAAATGTGTTACATAAAAAATTTATTTTTAATATTTTCACGTATAAGATTAATTTTCAACGTGGACGCATTGCATTTATTTTAACTCAATGTCTTGTATTAGTGTTTTTTTAAAGGATGATAATTATTCTCAATCATTTCCAACCATATCATAACGCCTATGGCTCTAACCCAACTCAATACTTGTTTAGTAAACAATGTTTACTCTTCAGGGTCCAAGGAATCTGTGGGGTAGAAATATTACCCATATTCACCCTGTAATGAATAACACAAAATTCGATCTGTAAAATTTTTCATCATTTACAATTCACTCTCGAATTTCTAGAACGAAGAGGAACGTGATGAAAATGAAGAAAAGGATAAAATTAAATTGATTGAATCTGCTAAGTTCGAGTTAAAGGAAATACATGAGGACAAAACAAGTTCAATCGAACAAAATAATACATCAAGTGACTTTCCAAACTTGTCATCGAACCATATTTTAACGAGTCCAACCAACTCCAATTCGATTGCATTCTGGAATACAGATTCATGGGCTGGTGGAGAGTTTGAACCTCTAGAAGAACCAATTTCAGGTACAAAACATCATATAAATTTAAAAAACGCTATACTCAACAGTAATCAAATCAAATGTAAATTTTACGTTATTATAATGTTGACAATGAAGTTCACGTATTATTTGTATATCATAAATTTGAACAATCTTTTGACATATCACCACTCTCTGGCAAATTGATAATTTTGATAAATGATTATGATTATAACTAATTAGTTAAAGCTGTTAAGTTTATCATGTGATACTAGCTGAATTGGAAAATCTACACGGATTTTTAAAAAGAATGTAATTTACGTAGAATATGTATATTTTACATTTTCTACATCAAATTTTGTAGATTATTTAGTCAAACTTCCACTTTAAACCATATATAACACGAAACAGACAGAATTGAAATAAAACAAACAACGATTCGAATTTAAACAATTCAAATATTGCAAAAAGTAGCCCTGATAAGTACAAATTTAATGGAAAAAAGGAATTAAACCAATTTACCCCAGTTGGATTTAGTAGGTACCATCCGAAAATCATAATTGAGCGCAAATAATAATTTTTAAGAGAAACTTATATGAATACATTTATATTCTTTTAATAATATTCGACTTGAGAAATATTTGAAAAATGTATATGGCCTTTAAAGTAAATTTAATTTTCTCTTATTATCCATGGAAATATAGGAAATGCGAAATTAGATGATGCCAAGCGTAAACGAGAAGAAAAAAAAATTCAACGCCAAAGAGATTTGGAAGCTCGGAGAATTGCGCGAGGTGGCCCAATGAAGCTGGGTGCAAAAAAAAATTAAAATAATTAAATTAATCATTCAAAATATTTTATACTTATTAATAATTCTACAGTAGTAAGTAATATGATTTTATTTGACTCGTTTGCTTTTGGATTTGAAATTTCGAATTTTTTTTGGTTCGTTGTAAGGATTTAAGCGAATTCAAATAATTGTTCAATGAACACAGTGCTGCCTTCTGTGAAATAAAAAAAATTGAACCCGTCGTATTTCTTTTTTTTTTAATTCTTATTTACAAGGAAAGGAATTGAAGCGGAACATCTAGATTGAAGAGAAATATCTTTCTAGATCCTATTATTAATAATGACTGCACCATATAACGTTCCTTCGCCTGGTGGTTTATTTAAATAAATATATATACAATTTTAACTTTTATTGGGTGTATTAGGGTGGGTCAAATTGTATGGATCCGAAAAAACTTCAAACGCTCCACGCGATTCTGGTACTTTGGAGCATAACAAGTATTTTTGCCCAAGGAACCATACCTCTAAAATCATTTTCGAGCCTGAAAAAACGACCAATTTTGCGCATTAAATGTAAAAAAAATTATTGAAAATGTGTATACGGGGGTTTTTT